TTTGCTATTTGATTTTAGAGTCAATAACTCAACCTTTGTGAGATTTTGTGTGGTGTTTGTGTTCTGATTACTCTCTCTTTCTGGAATGCACCGCCTGACCCGTTCATCATCATTCACCCTTGATCTGGTAACTTCGTTCTACCCTCCTTATCTTTCCTCCATTGAGGACAATGTCGTGCTTAAGTGTGGGGGGATGTTCGATTATGTATGCGGGTGAATGTTTGGCTGTTTGTGTGTTTGGAGCCTAGTCCACTGTCCAAATTTTTAAATTTGAGGGCTCCAAGTACGTGTTCCTTGCAATTTCCTGCTCAGTATGCTTTGAATTGACAGTCTTTATAGTAATATGCAACCTAGGGAGGTAGTGTAGCACTATGGAGGATGTTGATGCATTTAAGAAGTCTCATTGCTTCTTCATATTGTGTTGGTTGATTGAGTGAATTAGTGATCTTAGGACCCTTGAATTGTGTGGTGTTGTGGATTCTCTACCTGTCATGGACTCTTGTATCATGTTTTGAGTTTAACAGGTGCTCGAAAATGTGCTTCAAAATAACGTCTCCCGTGCGAATAGGGCGAAAGTGTGTAAGGGGAGACGGGAATTCGTTCCCAATTTCCACCTACTACCTCCAGCCCCCTTACATGTCTTTCCCCCGCACGAGGCTCGAGACATCCGCTCCTGGCATGGCCGGTAAGAGCAGGTTGGGACCCTTGAAAAAAAAAATAACAGAAAACAAGCAAAACAGAAAAGAAAAGGGGTGCCAACCATCTTCAAGAAGAAAATAGAGCACCTTGAAAAATGTGAGTCCATGATCTTTTGTTTTTTAGAATCTCTTCATCCACAATTCATTTTTCCTCTGTTCACTATTTGCCATGATGCCGAATCGATACTAGTGCTCTCGCCGAAGAAGCTATGAGATGACTTGTGTGTCGGTTGACCTCGTAAGTTGCTAAATAATCTAGGAAGTCCTCTACCTACGATCTGGGGTGTTTGTTGCTATAGAGGTCTGGAGAGTTGCATTGGTTTGAGTTAGGTTTGCTTGGGGACAAGCAAACAGTTAAGTGTGGGGGGATTTGATGACTCGGTATTTGCACATGTTTTCCCCTTTGTTTCTTGATTGTTTGAGCTTGAATTATTGCGTCTTTGGCCTATTTTATGCTAGGTTGTGTTCCTTTGTCCCATTTCAGGTCCTAGCACATAAAGTGAAGCATAGGCGCAAGTTCAAGTCAATCAGAGATCAATTGACGATTCGAGAGAAGAAACTCGGGCATGACCTGATAGTAGTGGATCGATTGCTTTAGTCGAGGGTTGATTCACTGCTTTGTATCGATTGAGAACCTCTTTCGATAGAGGGAGTCTAATTCAGAACGCCTTGATCAGTTGTTCTAGAGAAGGATACGCACCTCTAGGCAATTGACTCAAGAGGGCCTTGTTCCTTTAGTCGAGACTCAAGGTCTAGTCAAGGATTCTCCGCATTGTGAATGAAAGTGAAACAAGTTGGAAATCATCAATCGTTATTCTGGCTAGTGGCTAGGGGGAATCATACCTAAGTGAGTTCCCAACCTGTAATTAGATTAACTTTAACTGTAGTTTGCTAGAGTAGTTTTAGTTCTTTCATCTTAATCTGATTTGCTAAATAATAAACTGAAGCTGAGTAATAGTAACTCTAGAGACCCGTGGATTCGATATTTATCACTTGAGCCACTATACTGCAGTCCCTTTCATTGGTTACACTTGGCCTTTGTTAGGTGTTGTGTCATAGCGAGTCAGATACCACCTGCACCAAATCAGATGACTGGGTGGCAACAGCATGCACACCCCCTGGTGCTCTTCTCGATCTCCTGGAAGTGCCCCAATCATATCCATGCTCTGCCATCTCTTCAAAAAGTTGATTCAGCTGTGGCGGCGTTTTGGTGAGCATATTCCCGCCACAGACCGAGTCAATCAGCTGCTTGTCCTCCGGGAAGAGAGCATGATAGAAGGTTCCACCTTGAAAGCATCAGTAAAACCATGGTTGGGACACTTGAGGAAGAGACTAGTGTATCTCTCCCAAGCATCCCTGATGGTCTCATCCTCATCCTGCGCAAAATGGGTAATTTGCTTCTGCAGGTCCGCCGTCTTGGATGGAGGGTGGTAGCGGGTGAGAAACTTGTCCGCCAGGTTGGCGAACGTGGTGATGGAGCCCGGAGGTCGATTGTCTAGCCACTCCTTGGCCTGCCCCTCCAGGGTGAACGGGAAGTACCTCAACTGGATGGCATCTGCGGGGACCCCATTGATCTTGATTCCATCAATGAGCTCGTGGAATCGCCTGAGATGTGATCGGGGGCACTCCCCCTCTTTGCCACGGAACATCACTGAACCGCGCAGCATGGTGATTACTGAGGTACTCACCTCAAAATTATTGGCTGGGACATGAGGGTGTTGAATGGGTGACCTCATGTCTACAGCCCTGGCGGTCCAGTAATGTCCCATGGTCTACTCCTCGAGATTGACCACATCATGGTCCTGTGGATCAGCCATCTCCTCTTCTTCAGTGATCTGTAGCTGTGCTAGCGCCTCCTCCGCAGCCAGTCGCGCCTTTAGAGCCCGCTTGAAGTTTCTGCAGGTTCGTTCAAGCTCCTGGTCTAATGGTAGTAGATCTCCCGACTGGCTACGGGTCATGCACTACCTGCACACAATCAGCAGAAGCAACCCGTGAAGGCACACAGGTGGAAGAGATAAAATGCAGTAAATAAAAAGTTAGAGTAACAAATTCTCACGTTTCCCCAATAACCTAGAGGGCTCCCCGGCAACGGCGCCAAAAACTTGGTGCTCTAAAACACAACACCAAACTGCGACCAAGTATAATCGCAGTCCGGGAATGCAGTAAAGTGACAAGTTATATTATCAACCCGGGGTCTAGATCTACTGCTTACTCAGTGATTCTCTATTATCTAGCCAACTAAGTTAAGTGTTTGTTGTGTAAAAGCAAAAGCAGAAAGAAAGCAGGAATTGATACGGTTTTCTCAAGCAGGTAAGAGTCACTCGGGAATGAGTCCCCCTAGCTCCTTAGTTAGGTTTCAATTGTATTTCCCTGGGTTGATTTACTGTTGATTAGACTGCGGAAGATCCGACAGTAGCTTGGAATCTCTTAAGCTGACCAAGCCCTCTCAGTCTAACTACCCGGCAGACGACTAGTCTTCACCGGGATAGAAAGCTGAAGCAGTAAGAACAGAACTCCACTACTGGAATTGGATTCCAATACAAAGCAGTAAACTGGCTAACTCTCATATAGCCAATCTCCTACTACCGAATGATGAGACTCTAGCAACCTAATCAGATTCTATCTATCTCAGATTGCAGCAAGAATCAGGAAAAGTTGATCAGACTTCAATTGACTCAATAAACATGCATCATTCGATTAAAATCAAACAGTAATATCATCCCAAGTCATTACAATCAATCCCTAACACATAGAACTAGGGTTCTTCATCCCCAAGTGAGAGAGAGGTTCTACTCCATAGAGAGAGAGAGGAAAACAAGGTACAAAGCAGTCATACTCATTACAATGGGAAGAATCTGCTCTGGGATGATGATTTCCACTCCTGTGACGATCTCCAAGCTCGATTTGATGAAACCCAACTCCAAGATAGCTTCTAGGATGTGTTCTTCGTCCTTTCTCTCTCTATGGCTCTGTTTTTGCTCAAAAAGTCCGATCTCCTCACTTGTGACTCGAAATTGGCTGAAAAACCAAGATTTCCCGACTCACACGGGCAGGCCACACGGCCGTGTGGCTCACCTAGTTGCCCGTGTGAGTCAAAACGAGGCTTATCATTAAGTCAAAATTCAGGCTTCCCACACGGCCAGGGTCGCACGGCCATGTGGGATTTCCATCCTGCCCGTGTTTGCTCTCAGCGAAAATCACACGGCCACAAATGTGAGTTGCACGGCCGTGTGATGTCCAGGAATGCCCGTGCGGCTTCCTTAGCACCTCGCCACGCGTCCGATCTTCGTCCAATCGACCCCAAACTCGCTCCCAAGCCTCCATTCACGTACTAGGACCTGAAATATCACAAACAAGCACAACCTAGCGTGAAATCGGCCTAAAAAACGAGAATCAATACCTCAAAAGGTGTAAGAACAGGGGTAAAAACATGTGTAATTAACGGTCTATCAAAGCTGTTGAAAGAGTTCAAAAAGTCCAAGTTTCTTCTTCCCCCAAGATAATCATCATGAGATCTAACTAAGTTAAAATCGCCGGCAATACAGATTGGAGATTGATGACTCTGGCAGTAGATGTGAAGGTCATTCAGAAAAGCCAGCTTATCCTTCCTGTCTTGGGGACCATAAATCGTAATGAACCTCCAGGATTTCGAAGATAGTAAATCGAGGAATTCAACCACGAGAAAGAAATTCCCACTGCTATATGACAATTTCTGAAATCGTTTTTTTATCCCAACAAATAAGAATCCCACCAGAGCTTCCCACAGAATCTTTAGCAACCCAATCCATGTCCCTTCTGCCACTAATACTACCCACAAGAGAATCAGAGCAAGAAGGCCATTTGGTTTCCACAAGAGCAATAATATGAGGCCTGCGCCTACCGATTAAATGTTTAATTCGGCTTCTCTTGTCCGAATCACAAATGCCTCTAACGTTCCAGATGTAAACAGAAGTGTTCGTTTGGGAAAAGGACGGGAAGAAGCCACTCCAGCAACCTTTTTACATCCTCTTGGTCCTGTTGGGGAGGGAGACACAGGGCCCAGTCGCTTTCTTTCCATCTCGAGCTTTGAACGAGCACTTTTGATTTTCTTCTTGTGCATTGAGACCGCGGTGGTACTGATAATCTCTTCCAATCTGCCCTGACCTTCCTCATGTTCCAAACCGAATAAATTACTCAAATCCACAGAGCAACTGACCAAAGACGAAGAGTCGAAAGGGTATTCATCGAGGTCCCATAGCCTTTACTCCACAACGGTAGTACAAGAGGGTGAAGGAAGATCGGGGTAGTCTGAAGTGAAGCGGGATGGAAGGGTTTGGGTCGCTGGTAGGGATAGCAGGGTTTGGGTCTCAGGAACCAAGGATAAGAGGGAGGAAGGGGAAGAAGAAGGCGGCCAATCCGGGGAAGGGAGCATCAGATTGGGAGGGGAGGATGGGGGGTTTGGGTGGAATTGGTTGGCGAAAGGTCTTCAAGGTCGCAAATAATAGGCTTGGGGTAAAGGGGCGGGAAGAAATTGGAGGACAAGGGTTGGGACATGGGAACATAAAATATGGAGAAATCTGAGCAAGATAGGCTGATCAAGATCTGATAGTTGCTTAGGATATTCAAGGAGAATCGAAAGGGGAGGGGAGGTTCAGGGGAAGGCACCAACTGGCTAAAAGCTCGAAAAGATTCAAAGGTGAGCAAGGGCTTCTCTCGGGAATACAGGGAGGCCGGGTTGATGGAAGGGTCGGGGAGCAAAGGCTTAGGTCCAAAGAAGGAGGGTTTTGGCCCAACCAGATTGGACCTGCTTTTCGGATCCACCTCTTAACCGAAAGAGAAGAAATGTTGGCCGCTGCAGCGCCCCGTTTTTTCCAAGCTCTCGAATCTTCATTCTGCACGTTAATGCATGGATAGTTGCGCACTGTACTAGTCAAGGGATGACGGTTCACCTTCTCCTTTTGAAAATTGCCAACTTTCTGATGATGAAAATAGTCGTCACTGGCCGTCGCCGGGGAAACAAGGATCGAGGCTGTGAACCTATCCGATCCAAACTGAAGAGGGATAGATTCAGGGAAAAAATCCAAAACTACCACTGTTAAAAAAAAATTACAAAAATACCACCCACTCCAAAGAATTTCCAAAAATACCACCCTTTATTTAAAACCGCTCATTTAATGAGCGGTTTCATATAAAACCGCTAATCCAGGCGGCGGTTAAAGAGAAAAACGCGCCCCCAAGGCGCGGTTTGAACTTGCAAGGCTGTCAAACCGTGTTGCCACGTGGCGGTGCATCAACCCGCCAGTCGGAGAAGCGTTTAGACGGATAAAACGTGTGCCAAGTCAGCAGTCCGTGTCGTCCACAAAAACCTTCCTGGTCTTCTTGATTCTGATTCTAACGAGATCAAGACTCCAGGAGTTCCAGTCTATCTCCACAAATGTACCACAAAAGTTCCCAATGGTCACCACCATATCAATGCTTTTGAGAGTCAGGGGAATTCCAAAAACAAGAATCTAAACATCATCATAATTCTGAACCAGACTATTCTCCGACCATGGGAAGATCTTGATAGTGAAATCTCTTAAATTCATCTTATCAAGCTTCCTAATCCGAATGGCTTCCATAACACTCGAACAAACTAACAGCCAATTGCCATTAGCAGAATCATGGAAACCAAAGTTATCATCAATAGCCCAAGCTCTGGTTGCCCACGCTACGAATTCTGGTACGTCAGAATTTATAAAAGCCGACCCACGAGAACAAAAATTAATAACCAAGCTCCTGCCAAGCAGCTCTTTTCTCTTTGAGACACCTTTCATACCAATATCGATGAATCTATCAGAGTCGCTACCCATGATTTTGCAGTTTCCAGCACCATAGAAACCCCCACCTTTCACCGCTTCCACGTAAGTAATTCCTGGAATGGTTGTCGATGGAAGTCTTGGAGCCGGAGGAAGCTGAAACGTCGCGGTAAGATGAGACGAAGAAGGATCCACAGAGGAGCAGAAGCGTTTCTGAAGCTCGGAGTTGTAGAACGATTGCAGCAGATTAATCAAACCCGCCCAGCCAACTTTGGGGCCAGAGGAGGGAACCAGCACTTTGAAAGACCCTCTGGCCGTCACCTGCTCAGAGATTTGAAGAAAAACTCCCTGTCGATTGCAAAGCTTCTCGACATGAATAACGCGGCCCAAGAATCTCTTGGTGCAAGAAGGAGGAAAGGCCAAGTGTTTCATGGCTGCTGTTTGAAGGACTCCTTGGAGCCAGGAGATGTGCGCTTCGTTCAAAAGAACAAACCATCTTCTTTCAGAATCTTCGACCTGTAATTTGTACCAAATCAAATTGCCCGACGACTGACGCTTGAGAGAAACTGATTTCCTGCCGAATCTCGCCTGCCTGATACACTTTCCAACAGAATCGCCAGCGTCATCCAACCTGGGAAACCTGGACCTGCAAAAGAGAGAACGATCGTGAAACCTGTGACTGTCACGCTGCCTCACCCCCTCGTGGCTTTTGTTTGTAGCTTCAGAGCATGCAAGCGAAGGTACATGGCGGTTGTGGTCTCACCACAACTTGAATGGACGATGGAATTCACGGCCTAAATTGACGAGACATCGCTGCTTCGATCTGAGATTTCAGATTTTGCAGCCACAATTGCCATCGCAAGAGACATCGCGGCTTCGATTTGAGAGTACAAATCTTGCTCTATCACCAAAATCTCCATTATCTCCCCGTCTCTCAATAGCGGCGATCTTGCCGATGGCGAAGGAGAGAGTACGGCAGAGAAGTGCCGACTGCAATCTTGCCGGTGGTGAATGAGAGAGTACGATAGAGAAGAGCCAATGGGGATATTAGAGGAGAAGAGATCGAGAGACGAAGAGGGGAAGGAAGGGGATTGAATTTTTTTTTATTTATTTTAATTTGTTATTTTGTGTTAGTTTATCCTTTTACCCTTAATGAATCTCGTTGTTAGTATAACAACACTTTTAGTGTTGTTATACTATCCGCTCCCAAGAATCAACTTGGAACAAGAAGAAGAAGAATTTAAGCTTCCGTGATCGAAACAATCGAGTGGTATGCAACCCCCACCGGCGACACCGACTTCTACAACTACGCCTGAGGCAAGGAAGTGTTCTCCCCCCAGGATATGGAATCCCTGCAGGGTGACTTTGGCCGACAAGGAGCTGTACATTGCGTACCAGCAGGGTAATTACTACGTTGTCTGCACCTGGGATTTGTTTATCGGAGCACCATTCTTCGCCTACGGGCGTTGCGCCCACGGCCTCGACAATATTGATCGATGCGAGCATTGTGTACGGGGCGCGACCTTGACCATGATTCAATACTGTCGTGCCGCGGTCGCGGCTCAGGCCGTGTCTGAGTCCTGTTGTGTTCGATAATGCTAAGAACCACACGTTTTGTCATTGAAACGTTCGGAAATTTTCTGATCATCGTAGCACTATGATATCAAGAAAATACCATTGACAATGATATGATTTTAGTATGATAGAGATATTCTGTTGGTGCGAAGTTTTATGTTAGACAAAATGATGATATTATATCACTAACAAATATATCATAATATTATCGTTATGAAATAATTATTATGGCATGATATGATATTAGTATAAGCTAGAATATAATTTGATGACATCATCGCCCACTAAAGAGGAAGAAGTCCTCTTATTCTATTCGATGGTACCACCAAGTCTGTCTTCTCAGCTGACATGACTATGAATGGATTGATGATTGATGAACGGAAACATATCATGATATTATTATTATACGTAGTAGTAGTATCATGTGCAGTTAGTCTTACCATAATGGTAAGATCATGATATGACAGATATGATAGTGATAGTACTACAATCAATATGTGTTTTGAATAATAGGCGGAACATGCTTATATTGCCCTTGTCCCAGGACAGGGGCAATATTTGGAAGGTAAAAAATACATCACATATATGTGTATCCAACACCTACAAGTAATATAAGGATATTTTGCCACTACACCACATCTCATTATTTGTTTAATAATTGATAAAGAAATAATTAATTTAATTGTTCCATTCATGGTAATTATTCGACAACAACTTGTTCGGTATTATCATAATGTTATGAGATTTCATGAATTGAAAGAAATTGATTAATTATCTCGAATAATTATGGAGACAAAAGTGTGTTAGTCATATCTGTCAGTTTATTTGCTTCTGAAACTAGTTTTGATTCTACTAGTTGCAACTTTAAGTGTAGAAATAACATTGTTAGTTTGAACTATACTAATATCAAGTTTCAAAGTCGAATTGACGATAAGTTCTCTAATGATTGTTTAGTGGGATGCATTGAAAGAGACTTACTTAAAAGTGTAGACAACGAATGTATTTTGCATTGCTTTCAGAACATGAAAATTTGTCGTGGTTGTTTATGCCAACAATAATTTTATTAGTTGGTTATTTCTTTATCTATGAATGAATTGTTTGAATATTATTAGTTTTAATTAATACAATGGCTATGAAGAAATACCCTTCTTTTAATCCTAACCATCAATTTAAAAAAAGAAGACACAGGAGAGAAAGCGTATCCAATGGCTAGGAAGTGGGTTGTGAGATTCACAACCCCCTAAGGGGTTGTCACCGTATCCCATCCCTATCACATACATGCAAGACAGTTTTGGCAAGAGATCTCTTTACATCCAGTTCATCATCGCCATCGTCAACATTCTCGTGGGGGGCGTGGTTTTCTTGAGCGAAGTTTGGAATTAGTAGCAGTTATATCTGTGTATAGATTTTTCCCCCGTTCTTTATATCTGGTCTGTTGTCTCAGATCTGGAGATGTGTTCGTCCTTAGATGCAAAATGAATGCTAGCTCTGTCATAGATATAGCTTGTTTTCACCTCTTCTTTCCTTTGTCTACCTCCTTATTTCACTTTGCAGAGCTTAGTGATTTGGAGATGCAGGCGTTGTAGAGGACATGGTCTGGAGAGCTTGAAGGCAGATGATTCCGTCTCTCTGGTTCTTTTGCTGGCCGTCCAGTCGCTTTGTTCGTTTCTCCTGTGTTTGTTCGACGGGAGGCTGCCAACGATTTGGCCCGGGGTGGTTTGCTTGGATGACGTCTTTCCTCTCCCCACCATCCGAGTTCGGTTGAATCACACCCCTCTTGGCACATGGTGGCGGTGGCTGGTGGGGGTCGGCAGTGCATGCGTGGTCAAGCGGCGGTTGACGTTCGGCCGTGGCAGTGGAGGATGCTAGAGGGAGGCAACAGGCGGCTAGGGTTTGTTGGCTGGACAATGCTTTGGTCCTTGGTCTTGGCCCTATTGGGTTCTAGATTATTTTTGGGCCTTTTTGTTGGGAATTTTTCCAATAATAGCATGTTAAATTTTTTTTTTTTACAAAACCAGCACCCAGCCGAAAAAATTTACATAAATAGTATCGTTTTTAATGGAACGCACCCTTGAGGTGCGTTTTATAAGTAAACCGCACCCCACAACTGCGTTTTACTTATAAACCGCACCTTAGGGGTGCGTTCCATGCCACGTCAGCACGCAAACAGCACTAGGAAGGTGCGGTATGCTTTACCTGCGGAACGGTCTTCAAGACCGTTGGATGAATGCGCGATCGGACGGCGGACCGGACGCCAGGTCAGCGATCCATGCCATGGATCGAGGACCGCGCCTGCAAGGAGCGGTCAGCGCCTCGTGAATCTCAAACCGCATCGGTAGGGAGCGGTTTCTGCGAAGGGAAAATTACCAGACCGCCCCTGAAGGGTGCGGTCTGATAAGTATAAATACCCCCTTCCCCTCTCATTTCTTCACACCACAATCCATTCTTCCTTCTCTCTCTAGAATTTATCTCTCTAAACCCTCCCCTCCCAAAAGCCTAGGAATTAGTGGTCTGTTGGTTGCGGCTAAGTCCGATCTGCCATCAAAAAACATTTCTTTGGTTTTTTACTCAAACCCGCCAAGCCGAATCTCTATCTGAGTTTACCGAAAAAAATGAGCGAGTGGTGGCAAGGAGAGGGAGTTTATGTTGATGAATTTTTAGCAGTACGTACTCATTATTCTGGTTTAATTTTTGTTGTTGTTAGAAGCTTTTTAATTAATCAATGTACTAACCTCGTTGTTATTTTCTCGTAGGTTGGGGACGACATGGATATATACAACCAACGATATTATCTCGAGCAAGGACCGTTAGATCCAACCGACTTGTACGACCAACCCAACCATCGGTCAAGGGATGTTTGGAACGATCACTCGGTACATACAATTCTTCATCATTTGTCTTTCTTTTATTTTACTAATATATTTAGTGGAATATAAAATAAATTTATGTTGAATTTTTAATCGTGTTGGTTGTTTTCAATAATTTAATCGAATACATAGCGCCACTTACTTCGACTCTTTATAAAGAGATGCAAGTCTAAGGAAATGGGGTTTTAAGCGATTATCAGATCCTCCCATTCCCTGGGAAAATCGGGTATTAAGAGATCCCCGGGTCCCCCCTTTTTTGTGTCAAAAAGACTACGTTTCTAAGAAGATGTATACATCTTCTAAGAGTCTACGAGTGTTGCTCTATATTCGATTAAATTATTTAAAACAACCAATACGATTAAATTATTTACCTAACAACCAATATGATTTATTTTTTATGTGTACAAAATGAATTTTATTAATTTCAAATATTTGAATATGTATGTTTCTCTTTAAATGATTATTCATTTACAATGTTATTTATGTTAATTAATTTAGTATGTTTGTTTTACGATAATATGTATGTATCTCTTTAAATTATTTTTCATTTAGAATTTTATTATGTTAATTAATTTAGGATGTTTGTTTTATGATAATATGTATGTATCTCTTTAAATTATTATTGATTTAGAATGTTATTATGTTAATTATATGAAATGTATTTTTATAATAATGAAATTTTGCTCGAAGTTAAATAATTTAATTTATTTAATTTAGTTATAGAAAAAAACCCTTACTAATATATAATAATTAACGTGTAAATTTTCGCTAGTAGGCACAAACAATACTCCGCTACAGGGGTACGACCAATGTGTTCCCATTCCACCCAGCTATCTTGCCCTTTCTCAAAAGGGCACGGTTGGACCCGATTAGGCATTTTAACGACATCAAAGTCGATCGCCAACTCATCACCGCATTAGCTAAGAGATGGAGGAAGGAGACCCATTGTTTCAACTTTAGAGAAGGAGAGGCCACCATCACGCTAAAGGATGTCGCCATCCTAACCCATCTGCCCATGGACGGCAAACCGGTATGCGTGAGTGATCATCCTCCCGAGGATCGTGACGGTATGCCCGGTTGGGTTCATTTCATCCACAGTGTTTTGGGGGTGAAAGTACCATTCAAGGGGAGCGTTGATGCGACCGATCGCTTGCCACCAATGAGGAAACACCAAGTCTCAATTACTTGGTTGACGAAGTATTTTAGAGACCATTACGAAACTCATCCCCTAACTGTGGAAAGTCTGGAGGATGAGAAGGAAATATATGCTCATGTCTATCTCATAGGCACGATCGGATGAGTGTTCTTCTCCAAAAAAATCAAGCAATCTCCTTAGCTGTGGATGGCTTAGGATCATCCTTGGTAGTTGGGAGGAGATGGGGGAGTTTAGCTGGGCATCCGCTTGCCGAGCTAATATCTACCACAATATGTGCAATGCGCCTCTAAAATCTGTGAGGGAGGTCGTCGGTGCAATGTTCATCTTCCAATTTTGGGCTTGGGAGCATATGCCATCGATTGCACCGGTCCAACGTCTCGACAGGGATTGGCCAATCGATCATCCCTTAAGAGGTGAAGCTTATGGTACAAGGTAAACTTCTCATACCCCATCATGTTTTTCATAACACATTTTCCCTTGTGTTTTAGCTTATTGTATTTTAATTATTGTCTTATTAATAAGGTGGCTCGGACACACAACATGCGACAACCTTGCCCAATACAAGTTGGTCGAGTATCGGAGGAGGTTTGAGCGACTTTGGGAAGGAGAGGTAACTTCTATACTTCGATCCATTTATATCTTTTTTTCATGGACTACATGTATTTTTCCAATTATGATAAACTTAAGTTACTCATTTCTTTCTTGTAGATCGTCTTCGATCCATACCCGAAGAACATCGTTCATTGGCATCTCCAGCAATTCCCCGGTCATATCGGGCAATGGTGCACGAGGGTCCCTCTAATTTGTTTTGGGACCGTGGAGTGACACTTGTCGGATCAATGCCTCCGTCAGTTTTTTCGGTAGCAGTGCATTCCATTGGAGGTCCCCGATAGTCAAAGGGCCTTTCACCACCGAGATGGTCGGCAAGGTACTCACGATTGGCCCACAAAGTTGGCGAAATTCATCATGATGTGGGAGAACCGACAAGGCCAGGAAAT